TACGTTACGTACGTACGTAGTTACGTTACGTTAGTTACGTTACGTTCGTTACGTCTTACGTCTTACTCTCTCTCTCTCTCTCTCTCTCTCTCTCTCTCTCTCTCTCTCTCTCTCTCTCTCTCTCTCTACTATTTGTTTATAATTGGTTTGCCCTCTCTCACTATCTGCACACACATAATGGCTGATTGACGAGTCGAGTTGTGGTTTTAATTTTGAAGTTTTTTTGAACGGTGATTGCTTCACTTCTTGCAAATCTTAAAAAAAATAACAACGAAATGTATATAATGAGATTATTTATTTTTAATATAAGAAGGACATAATGACCGTTGAATTTGAAATCAGATAGTTGAGAAAAATAAATTTATCAATTGTTATTAGACATTTTCATTCATTAGATTTCACATCCAATTGTTAAAAATCATTGTGACTTTCTTGTATTAAAATAAATAGTCTCATAGTATAGAATGCCAAAAAATAAATGTTTGATATACATTTTACATGTGCTTGAGAAAAAGGTTGTGGTTTCTACGAAGGTTGCAACTCTAAACAATCAAAGTAAGGTGCACCTCAAAACTCTACCATAAGACACAATTTTGGTGTCGAAAATTTACAAATGGTCAGAAAATCTATTTTCTTATCTAATTATAAAATTATGAAGTTAAAAAATAGTTCAAATCAAACATATCTATAAGCCCATGAAAATCTGAAATTTTGATGGTCTAAATGATGTGTTACAATATACACTATTTTTAAGACTCGAAATTTTTTCTAAAAAAAAAAATTTCCATAAATCTCAATGTCGAGAGGATTAATTACAAGGCTTTCCAACATCAAGAGAGCCCTTACCAATGGATTTTTAAAATGCACGTTAAGTCTCCCGTTTAAGATTGCAACCTTATATAAATTTTTTCTTAAAAAATAAAATAAAATGAAGTCCTAAGATTCAACAAAGACATTTAAAGCAGTACTCATTCATTTTAAATTGGATCTTAATATTTTAAATCGAACCAATCTTCTTAAATAAGTCTTTGGCCCAAGAGTAAGCATCCAGTATGCAACCGTGACAATTCGTCATAATATTTGCAATCATTTTCTTTGTTTTTTTCCCATAACGGGGTGATACCATTGTCTCTTATTTATTTTAGAAGGACAAAATCATTCCATCTATATGGTCTATGGTCTAACTTCTATTATTTTTACGGGTGGCAATAGGTCGGGAGGAGTATGGGTCCAGCCAAACCTAGACCCAACCCAAAAATAATATATATATTATATATTGGGATCCGAAAAATATTACATGATCCAGACCTAGACTTGGAACCAAATAGTATTCGAATCCAAATTTTCGACCCATACTCAAATCCAAATCGGTTCTACCTTTAGGTCCCGGGTCAAGTCCAAGTCCAATGCCACCCCTAGTTATATTCTCTCTTTGGAGAGATATTTGATTTTCTTTAGATAGAGAGAGGGATTGATAATACTTTCATAAAGTAGCTGTAATCTTTTTAATTTCCTAAAGCTTTTCTTAAAAGTATACTTTGGTAGTTATCTTAGTAATAATTTTCAAAGCGCCAGCAAGGATTACATCTTCTCTTGGAACTATTTTGCCATATTGGATTCTTCTCCTCAATCAATTTTGGAGAAATAATTTTTATTGATGTTTAATGTGTTGTTCTCAGTCATTTTCCAAAGAGGGAGAGAGAATCCCTTGAGTTGCAAAACATAAAGTTGCTTTTACTTTTTCAAAAGACAATCAATCTTCCAACCCTTGACTTTTATTGACAAAGGGTGTGTTCTAAGGTATTGGATATTTTTCCATTTTAATCATCACTCCTAAATGTTAGATGTGTGATTCAATTTATTGGAGAGGGCCTCAATTTTGGAATCTCTTTTTGTTTGCTTTAAATTTGGTCAATAGCATATCCCCGTCCAGTTTTATATCTAATGGCTAAGGGTGATGGTGTTCATGTACCAAAAGGATAATATGCAAATAAAATAAAATATTTTCAAGGAAAAAATTGCAATCGCATCTACCTATTGGGTGTGAATTGGTGACTGCGAATTGAAGTCTGTTTTTTTTTTTTTTTCTCGAATTTTGTGTCTTGAGATGACACAACTCTAAATGCCATATTTGACAGGGAGCAGTGATTGTCATACAATCCTCAACTCTTATCGTAACATTTAATTTTGTTTTATAAACCTATTTTCATATCTAATTAGAAAATTTTAAATTTAAAAAATGGTTAAAATCAAGTAGATCCATAAACATATCAAAATCATGAAATAGACGGTCTAGATAATGTGTTGCAAGATGCAACTATTTTTGGGACTCAATAACTTTTTTTTTTTTTAATATTCATGCACTCTGAAGTGCATGAATATTCAATTAGAGGGTTTTTCAATATTAA